ACATATGGGTTTATGTCATCTGTTGCAATTGCAAAAATATCATCAACTCCATTTGCTGCAACAATTCCAGAATTTATTTGCATTGCTTTCTCGGTTCGAGTGCTTAATCTTAATAAGGAATTTTATGTTGTTGTTGTTTTTTTGCTTTGAATGGTGTCACTGCCTGCCATCGAGCAATAATTCGCGTCATAAAAATGTCTCAAAAATTTTTGTTTTTTTAATAAAAAAATATTAAAATATTTATTTTAATCAACTTCCTTCTTTAAAAAGAAATGTGTTTGGGCAATTTGTCAGTCACTCACTCCGGCATCGTCATCACCACTACCATCGTTAATTAATCACAATTGTGTATTCGCCATCGAGAATGTCATTGAGATGCAGAGCATTTTAAGTTTATACCACAGTTATACCATTATATGACAAGTCGTATAGTCCCAGCAGGAAGACCAACAATAAGCGTGCATTTTTTAAAATGTTTTTCTAGGTCGAAGAATTTTTTTAAATATTTTTTGGTCTTTTAATATTTTTCTGGGCAAAATTTGATGTTTATACAAGTCGGAATGGTGTTAAAGGTGAAAAACCCTGGTTATATGCTGTCAAGAGAAAACGAAACTCAAAGTATCAAAACTCAAATATCAAAAAATTCTGAATTAAAAAAATTTTGTATAAATATTTTTTCAAAATATTAATAAAAAACCAGTGAGTGGAGCAGTATAGTCGATCGGGGCAGACCATATGATACCCTACACAACTACCACGAAAAGCACACTTTCGGCGGTTCTATATTCAAAGCCTGGGCAATATTTCGTGATATATGCACCCTTTTTACTGATTATAGATCAACAACTCCTCTTTCTAAGTCTTGCATATTTTCCAAAATGTTTTTTTCTTGAAGTGAATTTTTACGCAATAAAATAAAAAATTGGTTATTTTAGGTTTTGGTTGATTTGACCCTCGGGAAATTGACCGATCATCATTTAAACAGCCGCTCTAAGTATTTGGTCAGATCCCTTTCACCTTGTAAAATATGTGATGTTCTGCATATAATAATTGTCTCTAGAGCGACTAGAAAATCTGACAAAATTAAAGTTTTCGGTTCATTGCACCCCCTGAATGAAATCTCAACTTCACCGAAAACTATAAGCATCGCCCTAGACCATCGGATCGGAACTTCATGTACAAGTTCAAAGCAATCAGCGCGACATTTCCGTCCTCTAATGGAGTAATAGTAATAATATGCACATAGTCACCTTTACTTAATTACGTATAACTCCCTCATCGGTGTACAAACAGCCATATAATTGGTATCAATTTGAAGGTCAACAACTCATCTTGGACAAACCCTAAATATTAACCGATCTTTACCAAACACAATAGGGGTCTTCATTGGCCAGAACCCATCCTACATGCAAAATTTCGTGAAGATTGTTTACAAATTATAATGGACAGACGGACGGACACACATGTCTAGATCGACTCAGCTAGTCGAGATATGACGATCGGTATAGTTAAAGGTGGGTCTAGGACCAATATTTCGCGGCATTACAAACTTTTGGGGCTGCACAAAGCTAAACGAGAAATCAAATCGATCATGTTGTGATAGACGGAAGGCATTCATCCAGTGTTTTGGACGTCCGATCGATCCGGGGAGCGAATATCGATTCGGACCATTACCTTGTGGCAGCCAAGGTACGCACGAGTCTTAATGTAGCGGCAAAGGTGCGATCTAATGTAACACGGAAATTTGATGTCGAAAAGCTGCAAACACAACAGATAGCAAAAGCCTACTCCGCTCAACTTACCCAACTGTTTGACGAAAGCACCCCTTGTGCCGATAATAATATAGAAGCACAGTGGCAGAGAATTGCCCACTCCCCACAAACTGCAGCAAAAGCAACACTTGGGTACCAAAGACCACCATCAAGAAATCCCTGGTACGATCAGGAGTGTCGTAATGCTACTGATACGAAAAACGCAGCGTATAGGACAACCCTGCGGACAGTAGCAACGGTATAGAGTGTATACCACCTAGCCAAGATTAAGTCAGAATAGCAATCAATCGGCTGAAGAATAATAAAGCAGCAGGTGCCGATGGGTTACAAGCCGAACTATTCAAGACTGGTGATCAAATGCTGGTAAGGAGCATGCACCAGCTGATTAGTACAATTTGGCTAGAAGAATGCATGCCCAATGATTGGAACCTCAGCACACAATGTCCAATGATTGTCCCGTGCACAAAAAAGGAGACAAGACGATATGTGCCAACTATAGAAAAATACGTTTCCTTCCCACCGCATATAAAATGGCATCCAGTGTGCTGTATTAACGACTGAAGTCAATGGTCAATGACATTATTGAACCATAACAATGCGGCTTTTCACTATGCCCCAAATCCTGGAAAAAACCCACGACACACATCGACACATTCCAACTATTCGTCTCCTATAAAGCCGCATTCGACAGCCCTATCCGTTCAGAGGTGTATAAAGCCATGTCTGCGTTTGGCATTCCTTCAAAATTAATACGGCTATGCAGGATAACTTTAACTGGCACAAGATCAGCAATAAAAGTCGGAAAGGACCTCTCGGAGCCCTTTAATACCAAACGAGGATTCAGACAAGGTGACAGTTTGTCATGTGACCTATTTAACATCCTGCTGGAAAAGGTTATACGAGAGGCCTACGCCGATGACATCGACATAATGGGTCGAACACTGAGAGCGGTAGCAGCCACATTTGAACAAATCGAGAAGGAGTCTGCCAATGTGGGTCTGGCAGTGAACGGCGAGAAGACCAAGCTGTTGGTATCAACACGCAAGACGTCCAGTGGACTCGGACCAACAGTGGAACTTGAGAACTACAACTTCGAGGTAGTCAAAGATTTTATATACCACCTTGGTGCCGTCATCAACAAAACGAATGAAACGAATTTGAATTTCGGAGAAGGATAGAGATAGCCAACAGATGCTACTATGGTCTGAGCAAACAACTCAAAAGCAAGCCCACCTCCCGCCAGACCAAACACACACTCTACAAGACGCAGATATAGATACCCGTGCTGTTATATGGATCTGAAGCATGGATACCTGCGCAAGCAGATGAGGCAGCTCTTGGAGTGTTTGGGCGAAAAATTCTCCGGAAGAACTATGGGCTGATCTGCGTTAACGGTGAATATCGCCGTCGAATGAACCTTGAGTTGCACCAGCTATTCTCGGACATCGACATTGTTAGTCGTATTGAGCTGCAGCGACTACGTTGGCTAGGTCATGTTGTGAGAATGGATGAAGATGACCCAGCCCAGAAGGCATATAAAAGCGAACCAGCTGATGGTTCAAGCAGTAGGGGTAGGCCAAGAATAAGTTGGAAAGACCAATTGGAAAAAAACATTGCCGAATATGGTCTTTCAAATTGGAAAAACCTGTGCAAAAGAGCGACGCGCATGGAAATATTTTTTAAGCTGGCCTTATGGAACGAAAGTTCTGCCACAAGTCAGCTAAGTAAGTAATAAAATAAACCATTATAATAAACATTATTACTTCAATACGTTGTGTCAACCTAGGCTTAATTCAGTACCCTATACCAAAATGCACCAATTACATAAAATCGGACGAAAATATATATGGGAACTATATCTAAATCTGAACCGACTTCCACGAAACTTAGCACACATTATTATAGACACAATTCATTACGCTATGCCAAATTTCGTGCAAATCGAAAGATATATAGGGTCTTTGGTGCGCCAATTACCTTAAATCGGAAAATATATATACATATGGGAGCTATATCTAAATCTGAACCGATTGTCGCGAAAATTTGCCTTCATCATTCTAGACTTAATTCAGTACGCTGTGCAAAAATTCGAGGAAATAAAAACATTTCAATGACTTTAGTGGACTATTTACCTTAAATCGGTCGAAGATATATATGGGAGCTATATCTAAATCTGAACCGATTTTCACGAAACTTTGCACACATCATTCTAGACTTAATTTAGTACGCCATGCCAAATTTCGTGCAAATCGAATGATATATAGGGACTTTGGTACACAATTTACCTTAAATCGGACGAAACTACATATGGGAGATATATCTAAATATGAACCGATTTTCACGAAACTTTGCACACATCATTCTAGACTTTATTCATTACGCTGTGCCAAATTTCGTGCAAATCGAAAGATATATAGGGACTTTGGTACACCATTTACCTTAAATCGGACGAAACTATATATGGGAGCTATATCTAAATCTGAACCGATTTTTCCCAATTTCTATAGGGTTCGTCCTTGGGCCAAACAAATGAGCTGTGCCAAATTTCATCCAATTCGGATCATAAATGCGACCTGTACTTTGTTTACAATTTAACATGAACAGACGGACGGACGGACATGCATAAATCGTGATTCTATGCATATTCTCAAAAGGAACCATGGGTCTATCTCGATTATTTTTGCCTTTTACAAACATATGCACAAAGACATAATACCCTGTACCACAGTGTGGTGAAGGGTATAAAAATAAATTTGACACATTATTCCCAATGACCTTTCACATTCTTTTATTTTTTTCTTCATTCAAAACGCCGCATATTATTAGCACATTATAAACAAAGAAATGTAGAACAAATTCTATTTTCAAAACCTAAATATTTGCGCTAAATATTGCTAAGCAATTATGAATTTCAATTTCATTCAAAAAAAACGTTTTTTTTCGATTTTTGTTTGTAATGAATCATTATTTGTTTATCTTTTTAGTTTGTTTATATATTTGTTATATTTTTTCGTTCAACTTATATATTTATTTTATTTGTTGTTGGTATTTTACCCTCATTGTTAATTTTTTTGTTGTTGTTTTCTTTTGTTTACAATTTAATTAAAACAACATTAATCGGTTAATGTCTGCCTGACTGAATGTGCAAACTAGGGACAAAATACTGAGAGAGTGCGAGTCCAATGTGTGCCGGATTCGATTGCCTTATCTCTAACAAATATTTCCAAGGTTCTCTTTGTTCTTCTCGCCGTTTCAATTGCCATAGATTTGACGCAACAAAGCAATGTAAGAGTACGATTTACTCAATATTCCGGTAAAGCTGGGCAAAGAGAGTCCCATAAATCCACCAGCTGTGAACACAAATGGCCTCTGTGCATTGGTAAGGAATATTAAAAGAGATTTGCCATAGCGTCGATCAAATGAATACCAAGATGAATGAAATCCGCTCGTTCCGATTGTTTTACTCTGCAATAGAGAGAAAGAAAATTATTTTGATTTGTTTACAAAAGAGAACAATGTGTGGAATTGTATCTTTTAACTAATTGGAACAAAATGTTGTGTACAATGGAGAATAGCATTTAAAAATTTGCTCTATGGGGGTCAATGTTTAGATTTGATGCACGTCGTCTAAATTAATTTGTTGAAATATGTAAAATATTCTCGACAAATCCTATCATTTTTTCAGCTAAAGCAATAACATATTTTTATGTTTTTTTTCTTAGATAACAGCAAGCAGAGGTTTTAAGGTTGGATTTTTATACCCTTCACCACACCGTGGAACTGGGTATTATGTCTTTGTGCATATGTTTGTAACAGGCAAAAAGAAACGAGATAGACACCTGGTTTATTTTGAGAATATGCATAGAATTACTTTCTAAGTCGATTTATACATGTCCGTCCGTCCGTCTGCCTGTTTTTCCCAGATGGATTTATGTGGGTGCGGGATGACTGAGGACTGGAAGCATATACTGACGGAATGCTGTTACTATGATGACATTAGAGATTTAGCAAGTATGGGTATATCGAATGGAGGGGCGGGGTGCGATATCAGTAGGGCACTTGAAGACAATCGGACCTTTAGTTGTTTAAGTAGTTTTGCTCGTGAAGCATTTAGGAGAAGGACAGTACGTAGCGGAGTTGGTCCTCGTGCATAGCCCCCATTGCAGTTGGGTTGGTCGGTTGCACCGGGTGGCGGTGCTGGTCTTGGTGGGGTTATCGGCGGTTGTAGGTGGTGTACGTACTGCCTGCGGTTGTCTGTGCATCGTGGGTGGTTCGTGGTTTCCACTTTATGTGCTTCACTCGTCCTGTGGATGTAGTGTAGACTGTCCGTGAGGGCAGTTTTGTTCATTGTTTGTGTTGTGATGTCCGATGCCGCGGTCCTTTGGGCCCTTTGTGCAGTCCGTGAGGACAGCATGTTAATTGTTTGTGATTTGTGTATTTGTCACTGCTTGTGGGCAGGTTTTTCCTTGCCACTTCCGGTTATCGCCGTTGCTTATTGTTGTTTTGGGATACCAGCGCGGACGTGCGTCAAACTGGGAGAGGCTTCGGTCTCGAGCCTGAGCGGAGGTTTTCCGTACCGCGGGTGTCAGGTGCCCTTGGATCTGTCGATCCAGCCTGACAGTTGGTGTGGCCCCCTGGGGAGCTTCGCGGGGGTTGTGGTTTCGCCCCTCACCAAGGGGGAGAGTGTGCCTTCTGCATGCTCTCCAATTGGTACAGTACTTCGGTGCTGGTGCGCTGGTGGGCGCTTTTCCGCCTGTGGCTCAGCCACTGTGAGGTAGGCCAATTGGCAGGTACTCACATAAAACTCTTCAAGATACTTGTCTGTCTGCTCATGTTAAATTGTAAACCAAGTACAGGTCACATTTTGGCATAGGTCACTTAAGGACGAACCCTACTGAATTTGGGAAAAATCGGTTCAGATTTAGATATAGCTCTCATATATATTTTCGTCAGATTCAATGTAAATGGTGCAGCAAATTGGCAGATTTAGATATAGCTTCCATATATATTTTCCGATTTGAGGTAAATGGTGTACCAAAAGCCCTTAATATCCCTCGATTTACACGAAATTTGGCACAGCATAATGAATTAGGTCTAGAATGATATGTGTTAAGTTTCCGGAAAATCGGTTCAGATTAGGCATAACCTCTATATATTTTTTCTTCCGATTTTATGTAAATTGTGCATTAAAGACCACAAGTTTGTCCGATTGCAACACAATTTTGTACAATGAACTGTAGTTAATATAAATTAATCTCTGTCAAGTTTCGTTGAAATCGGTTCAGATTTAGATAAAGCTTCTATAGCTGACCAAATTAAAAATTTAGTATAGGTTGCAGAATGACATATTTATGGACCCAATTTCATGTTACTGGTCATCTGTTGAATATACCCAAAGGGTATCATATAGTTGGCCCCGTCCGACTTTACTATATTTTTATACGCAATGCGTATTTGGGTAACATTCATTGTAATACATGTATTTAACTTTTGAGGAGAATAAAATCGTACGCATAGGCATGAATTTAGGTACGACCCTATAATAAAAACCAGTGAGCGGACCAGTATAGTCGGATGGGGCCGACCATATGATACCCTACACAACTTCCACGAAAAGTTAACTTTGTGTGGTTTTATATTCTGAGCATGGGCAATATTTCGCGATATTTTCACCCTCTTAGCCGACTAGAGGTCCACAAATATTCCAGATTCCCTTCACCGAGGGATGTGTTGTGATGTTCGGCTTTCAATTGTGGCATATAGATCGACTCGAAAAAGACACAAAAAATTAAGTTTTCGGTCCACTTCATCCCAAAGTTATTATCTGATCATCACCTAAAATTATAGGCTTTGTCCTTGACCATAACCAGATTCCCTTCACCGAGGGATGTGTTGTGATGTTCGGCTTTCAATTGTGGCATATAGATCGACTCGAAAAAGACACAAAAAATTAAGTTTTCGGTCCACTTCATCCCAAAGTTATTATCTGATCATCACCTAAAATTATAGGCTTTGTCCTTGACCATAACTGAAACCTCATGCAAAATTTCAAAACGATCTGCGCTGTATGTCCCTCTAGTGTGGTAATGGTTTACTAAATAATATCTGAATTCGTAAGCACCTTTGAATATTTACATGTAACTCCCACATCCGAGTACATACGACCTTTAAATTGATCATTGGTATCAATTTAAAGGTCAACCACTCCTCTTGGATATACTATCAACTCTTCGGGTCAGGTGTAAACATATATCCCATAGAATACAAATGTTGTCATTTTTCACACAGAAGTCGGGGTCCATTTAACCCGCTAAATATTAAGCGACCTTTATCAAAACAGGCATGCTTAATCTTTGGCCCGATCCCCTTCTCCATGTAAAAATTCGCGAAGTTTGCGCCATAATTGCGGCCTCTAGAGCGACCAGAATAACAAACCTGTGGGTCTAGGACCAATATTTCGCGGCGTTACAAACTTTTGGGGCTGCACAAAGTTATAATACCCTGCCAACAGTTGTGTAGGGTATAATAATCCCAGCCAGATCGTTATTGAAAAAAAATTAAAAAAATCAAGGCCTAGTTAGAAACTCATAAAAATAAAAATATACGTCATATTGGTTCACAAATATTATGAAAAATCCAATTCTTAAATATTCACTTCTAGTTAGTAACTCAAACACTACCACGAGTAGTTAATAAGTTTTTTTTTTTTTAATCTCCATCACTTATATATTTTATCAACTATTGTCTACACTTTCTTTTCACATTGACTGTATATTTAGTAATTAATAACAGATTTGCTTTACGTGTAGGAATCTACAACGTTTACGATTATTAAATTTAAAAGAGAGGGGACTGATTACACTTTAATTCTCTTAAAAAATATATTATTTTTTTCTCTTCCAAATTTCAGTCAGTTACTTCGATCACTGTTTTAGGATATCTAAAAACTACATCCTATTATGATTTTAGTCAGAATTGATCTGCTCTCTATCTCTCACTCTCTATGCCGATCGCTATTTATCTGGAAGCTGGCAACAAGTCAAGTTCTATGTCTAGTCTAAGGTGTGAAGTTAACAGACATAATGCATGAAAACAACGATGATGACGACAAAACGACATTCAAAATTTGTAACACGTACGTCGGACACAATTTGAGGCGGGTCTCCCCCAACAAGACAGCAATGCAAAAATTTACCGAATAAAAAGGGTGAAGTAGACAATTTTAAACGTTGCTGTCTGTCTGTCTATCTTTCTGCCTTTTTTTGGCCTCCCGTTGACGTTGATCATTTTGACATTTGTCGTTGATTTATGAAGTCATTTAAGGCCGTTCAAAGAAGTTGGCAGTTTAGCAGATTAGAGTTGGCGGGTGGGGATACCCAGAGGTTGTTATATTTATAAAAATACTGCACGCCTATTTTTTTTATTATTTGAAGTGTCAGATTTTTTGTTGGTCTTTCTTTTTTTGTTGAGGGTGTGTTCTCTGTAAAGAATAACGTGTGTGAGATCAGGGAAAACTTTTGAGTAGAAGAAAATGAATAATTACACCATCCTAAGGTAAAGCAAAATCATAAAGTGGAATTGCAGTGATTTTTTGGATTGTATTATAACTTTGTTATGGGCCCAAAAAGCAAACTTCGATATATTCATCCGTATTTATATTCGATGTTTAACTCACATAGATCATTGATTTTGTGGAAATGGTCATACGTTATTTTAGTATGGAAAAGGGTATATATCGTAGCAAGTTTTAAAATAGTTCCCATATACCACATGGTACCACACCTGTTTTGATAAAGCTCTAAATCTATTTTCAGTCCGAATAGCGGGGCAAATTCCTCATACAGCTTCGTAGCAGTGTGTTTAATTTTAAAATTTTAAGTTATCAGAGGATCTACATTCGCATCCAAGTAATTTTAGGTATTTAAAAGGTCACGGTGGCATTTTCAAACCTGTGCCAAGTTCCCAGTGGCTAAGTTCTAGCTGCATTTGTTATTAAAGTGACTCTTTAAATACAAATTTGGGGTTCTCTTTAACCATACGAAATCTACCAAACAAAAATTATTAATTGTAATTAAAGTTTCCGGGTAACCTCTATATAACGGTAATCGGAATTTTGAGCAAGTCTTCCAATTAATATCGTTCAATGATCAGGTATAGTCTCCATGTATTCATACTCCAGACATTTTTTAAATATTTTCAGTTCTCATTGGGTAAAAAATATTCGTACCAAAACTGAAAAATATGGTTCGATTTTTGGGTGTAGCACCAGGTACTTTATAGGAATTTTGATGGGCCGAGGAGGATTTTTTAACAAAAGAAAGTGGATAAGCAGCATTTTAAGCAGAGATGACCTGTCAGAAACAGTGACGTAAATGACATACATTTCCAACGTATAATACATACGTCAGAAACGTATGTATAGCTATTTTTGACAAAATAGCTATTTCCTTTAATCAATTTGGAAA